CAAGTATTCGGCACCTGGGAGGATTGACCACTCCGCCCTGCACAAACACAGCAGATATCGAGAAGCCTTTGCAGAGTATGTCCAGTGGATGGCGCGCGTACTCTGGGGCGCGGCAAATGTCCAAGACCCCGACAGCTTTCAAAAGCCTGCTCTTCGTAGGAGTTGTTCGCAAAGCGAGTTTGAGCGGCCTGGAGGCCAACCTTTGAGAGACGGGGGAGGAGGGGCGCCTGGGCGGAACCGTTGCCCGAAAATCCAGATCTAGCCCCTGTTCCCCTTGCCCTGAAGGCGCGACTCGCGATTGATATCTCGGCGTGAACGCGCTCTGCGACACCAACGTCAGTCTCGACAGTGGTGGGCCACCCCCCTGGGGAGATGTCGTTTCGAACGAGAACGTGATCCAGCAAAATCTCGAGGAGAGATGGCCCCCCCGTGGCCCCGCCGACGGTCATCGACGACCGCGCCGACGCGAGTCCGAAAGCGAACCCTTGGGCCCGCCAGTTTTTCAAGGACCTCCAGGACCCAGCCGAGGACGAGGAGTCTGGGGAGCTTACCGAGTTCTTGGAGGATCGGAAGATCGTTCTTTTCCAGAAGAATGTCGTCCAGGCCCTGAGCGACATCGAGGAGCGTCGAATGCTGAAAAAGTTCACCCGAGTTGCAGTTCCACCGCATGTCACCACAACGCGGCCACCGCCTGCCGTTGCGACCGAGGTCGAGGGTGACTTCGCGCGCGGGTTGAAGATGGAGGGGGGGGGGCTCTTTGCCAACGCCGCGCTAAGACACGCACAGGACTGGTGACGCATCAGTGTTGCGCAGGTCTTGGTGGCGAGCATGGTCGGAATCATATTATGCGGTTCTTGCCCGTTCCAATCGCTGTCCGGTGTGCGCCGCGGTTTCTCGAGAAGCCCGACATTTTCATGCGCTGGAAGGAGTCCTGGAACCATTCCCGATGCTATGCGACACGCGCGAGATGTCCATGCGATTGCATCGAGCTTCCAGACATAACGTGCCCCTTGTGGCCCGAAGCCGTTTTTGTTATGTACTGACCTCCTAGTGCCACCAGCTGGAGAGTTTCTGGTCGCGGTCCGCGATGGCGACCCACGACTGGCCCCCGACGCTCATGGGCACGCACATGCAGGACGCCCCACCGGGCGGCCGGCGCAGGAGGGAGAGCGACTCCGCGGGGCAGGGCAGGACGAAGGAGGCCTAGGTTGTGCGCCCGCCAAGGCGCGGGAGGAAGCGCAACAAAGACTAGTCGAAGGAGGTGTGGGTAGCCGACGAAGGGTTGACGGCCATGCCGTTGGTCACGTTGAAGCAACTCATCATCAACGCGAAGCAGCTCCGATAGATACGACGCGTACCTCTTGGACATCAAAAACAAGGCAACGCAGGCCATGCAGAGCGCGGGCGCCGCGAACTCGGCCAGGGTGAAGGACTGGCAAAGGCCACGGTCTCGGCCTGCCAGCAGTCACTATGTTCCTATACTTGGTGGAGACGGTGCTAGAGATGGAGATCGGAGCCGTGAACCGCAAGGGGCTGGAGGGCTCGATGTGCCAGCTCAAGGACACGGAGCGTTGGGACATCGCGCAGTTGTGTCATGCGTGCCGCCTCGAGCGGTGCTTCGACGAGATGCAGGTCAAGATCGCGCTGGCCGTCTTGTCGCCCGACCTGCGGAAGCTGTTACGCAGCGCGATGGAGCAGATGGGCGCCGCCACGACGATCGGCCAAGCGCCCGCGGGGTACTTGGAGGAGGAGCTGGACGCGTAGGTGGACATGCTGTCTTGAGGCGGCCTGCCAGCGCGCCTCTAGCGAGTAAGAGGACGACGGGGGGGCCCGTCGGGTCGTCGGACGTCGTCGGGTCGGCGGGAGGAGGAGGAGGAACTCACAGTTCACTGGAGGAGTTCGGTTTCAGGCGGCACCCTGACTCAGGGGACGACCGCGGGAGCCCCGCTCTTCGTCGGGGGGCAGTCTTTTTCTACCCTTTTTGGGGACACGCCCTGAGCGTGACAGCGAGGCGCTCTCGAGCCGAAGTTCGTGTTCAGCCGGACCTATTTCACTGGCGAGAGTGTTCAAACATCGTGACACGGCCCTCTATGCTGCTCAAACGAATGCGAAAGCCTTTCGGGCGGCGCCGCCGACCTGGAAGGGGGACTGCGACGACGACGAAGCAGACGACGACGACGGTCACAGCGACGGCGACGACGAGAAGGAGGAGACGGAACAAACATAGAACATTGAATTGGCAACCCATAATGTGCGTCCGTGGTGGCCCCTTTTAGGGGACCTCTCTGACCCCCTTTGTCGCGTCTTAGAGGTTTCTGATGCCATTTTGAGGGTATCCAGGGTCGCTTTGGAGCCAGATGGGGCTGTCTCAGGGTCGTATTGGAGGAAACCGTGTCTTGTCGTATGTGCCTGCTGCACCATAGCATACCACCATCACGTCATGGCACGGCGCTGCGCGGCAGACCGTGCTGCTCGCTTCGCAGCGATGCCTGGCCCAGTATTGGCACAGCTTCTGCGCTCAAGGATCTGGCGCCCGTGCCGCGAGGCAACAACCAGCCAATAGTCAGCACGGGCCCCTGGTTTGTCTTGGTCTCGGGGGAACGTGAGAAACGAGAGACCCGAGTTCGCCAAACCTCGGGTTTGCCGACGCTTTTTGACGGACCCGCTCTTGATTTTGACGGCCCAGTTGCCGTTGGATGTTTGCAGCGGGAGCTCGCGTCAAGCGTCAGACTGGGTCTCGGCCCATTCAGGCCAACCCGGGTCCCCCGTACCCGACTCTTCGCACGAGCAGGCAGACCTCAGGCGAGCATACTTCGGAAGTTCTGTCCTGCAGTGGGGGCGCACATTCAGAGACCGAATGCGCTCCGTCAGGGTGCGTCGGGTTTCTTCGTTTCGTGCGCTGCGTGGCGGCTTGAAGTGGGCGTGGAGAAGCTATTGCATTCAGGATGCCCTGGATGTTCCCCAATTGGATTTCGGTCGGGCCAGATGTCCTTGGTTTCTCCGAGTGCTTCCGTGGCGAATCAGATCGCAAGTCACCGCACCTGCTGATCACATTGCATCGGATGTATAGCGGCGAATAGCGCTCAAAAGCCCCAGACAGCGATCACAGCGCTCTTTTGCGCCCAAATGGTGCCAGATGGTGCCATGTCAGGGAGTTGCATTACGTCCGCCTGGCGCGCTATTGGATGCGCTATTGGGCGCCATGGGGACGACCAAGAGCTTGCGTGAATTATTTTCTGAGGCCAAGACTCCCAGGCAGTGGGCATGAAACCGAACGGATCTTCAGGGTTGCGCTCCTGCGACGACCTCCTGCGTCCGCATCCGCTGCTACGTAACGGCGTGTTCCCCCTCAGAGGGCCAGGAAAGACATCTTCGGCCCTCCTCTGCCTGCTCCCCCATCCTCCTCCTCGTTTTGCCGACGATGGCCTCAGTTTTCCCTGCTCGTGGCTTGAGGGAGCGCACGTGCCACGCTCTTCCTTTCCTTGGTGGCCTCGTCGTTCGCGCCCCTCCCTGTGCTCGTGTCCTCGTCGTCGTTGTCCTCCGAGTCTCGTTGGCCAGTGCGGGGCTATCCCTGAGCCGACGCCCGGCCAATGAGGATGCACTTCCTTGCCTGTGTTGAAGTCAGAGTGGGTCGTCTGACCCCCATCCCCTTGATGTCTACGGCGTTGATGGCTTCAGATTCGCCGACGATGGTCTCAGTTGGCCCTTGCCCGAGTACCATGTGCGTGACAATGTTTCGGAGAAGAAGAAGAAGCATCATCGGGAGTTTTCGACGGTCCGCGCTGAACCTCCCTGGCGTGCTCAGCGCGCCAGGGAGGGGCTCCAGCGCAGATCCAAGAAATCTGCGCGGACCGTCTGCGCTTTCTTATATCTTGTAGTTTGCCGCGCAGGTGACGGCAGGGCGGGCAAGTCATACCTTGGCTCCCGCATCGTTGGTTCCGAGGACGCCTTCGAGTCGAGCGACTCCGCGGAGTCCGTCACCGAGGCGCGGTGCGCTTTGACCAGCTTCCTGCCTTCAAGTCAACACAGGCAAGGGCGAGGAGGACGAGGAGGACGAGCAGGAGGAGGAAGAGGAGGAACAAGGTCCAATGCGGGGATTTATCCATAAACACCGCATGGAGGATCGATCTTTTGGACCCCGGCAGCCATTGGACAGGGATACACACACATATATATATATATATATATATATATATATATATATATATACGCACATCTGTTATATATGTGCTTGTGTGTACGTGTGTGTGTGTGTGTAGTCGGGCCCTCTGTAGTCTACATGTATACATGTCCACCGCCTTCCGAGGTCCCAGGACGTCGGTTCCCTAGGCGGTGGATATGCATAAATCCCCGCCTCGCACTAGCGGATGGTGGACGGGGTAGACAAAGAAGGCGAGGAGGGGTGTAGGAACACATACAAAGTAGTATGAAAAGGGATGCTGAGGAGAAAGAGGAGGAGGGCGCGTCAGAGTGCCTGGGCGAACCTGTGCCACGCGATCCGCCAGTCCTGGCCTGGCGCGCTAGCAGTATCGATGATCCTCAGGACGAATGTTAGCCAATGTGTGCGTGTTTAACCACTTCAGTTCCTCCGATAGCGCGCAGCCTGTGTCGGCCCTCGTTCCGCCGCCTGCGTTGTATTGATAGGCTTCGGTGGACAAGCACATCCTGAGGATCATCAAAAGTGCCGCGTAATTTGCCTCCTACACTCATACATCCGTCGTCACGGTCCACCCGGTCAATGTTTATCATGGGCCCCGTGTCGGCGTTTTCGAGTTGGTGTGCCGAATCTTCCGCACGATTCCTTTCGGCATCATGTCGCATCGCCGAGACACGAAATGTATACACGCGGCAGGACGATTGTGGGCCATGCGCGCACGAGCAGGCCATTCAATCACTAGCCAAGTCACGCGACGAAGCGCATGCTGCAACCAATGAGCACCGCCTACACGAAACCCATGAACACACCCTGTCACACCAGTGGATAGCACTTCACACGACAGCTACACACACTGGTTCAAGCAATCTCGGCTGTAGCCCAGCAGCCTCACGAAGGGAGGGTGTGCATGCCGCTCTCACGAAAGGCGATCGCTGAACAATCCATCGGGACCAGCGGACACCGCCAAGCGGAAGACGCTCGGACAGCGAACTATGGTCTGACCGGGCTATCCAATGGGTTGCCTTCGTCGGGCATATCAGAGACTTCTGGCGACTGGAGCTACAGTGTACCCTCGGTGTCCTACAGCTTCGGTCAGAATTCGGATAACCCTCTCGGGCGACGGACGTCGGAGCGCACCGACGACTCCGAGTTTTCCACTTCGTTCTCGGGCACGCCCTACGGGCGGCAGCAGTTCGAGTTCCCCGACGACTCCGAGTTCTCCCACGACGCGACATCGTTTACGCAGTCGGGGAGTGGCTTGATGCCGTGGGAGCGCTCCGACGACCCTGACGTTCCCCGCGTCGCGGCGTCGCTTCCACCGCTGGCGGCGCCCATTGGGCGCCCGGTGCCACTCGGCGAGAGGAGCCCTCCCGGTGGACGGGCGCCGACGCCAATGGGCGAAAGGTCGTCTGCTCAGAAGGTTCTGGTCTCCGCCATGAGCTGGGGCCGGGTAGTCAGCCACGAGTCCGTGATGGCGAAGGCGGCGGAGCAAAGCCAGGAGCAGGTGCGCAGGCGAAAGGCAAAGCGGGGACGGGAGACGGTCAAGGATTGGAGGCCTAGAGGGTGGCACCAACACCAGTACCGGTGGTTGCCGCCACTGAGGGAACTTGATCACGAACTCGGTGGTGTGGTGGTAGTAGTTCTCCGGCTTGTTAAGTGACCGATCTAATACCACCAGCACCAATATCCAGGATCATCACTTGGTTGTGGCAGCCCTTTCTGTTGGTGTTAGTGCCAATTTCCAGGCCTCCCAAAGGAGGGTTCCCGCCTCCTTCTCGCGTCGACGATGATCTACGGCGTTGGCAGCTGGAGAAGAAACACCTCACGACTCAAGAAGGTAGGCTGACGAAGGTCCGCGCGGACTTCGTGCCCAGATCTCAGACGATACGGTTTTTCAATCTGGGCGTTTTTTTTTGATTTCGGCTCCCCGGGCACGTTACCGGGCCCAAGATCGTCAAACATGGACCACATGGATCCATGACGAACAACTACCCTGGTGGAAAGGGTTGGGACCTCGTGCGTTGCTCATCTCAAACATCAGATCGTCGGATGTCTGGGTTCGTGGATCGGTGCAGGACCCCCTCCTTGGCGCGCGAAGCGCGCCAGGGGCGCCGCCCAGGGCGTCGAACGCCGATCCAAGAAATCCGCGCGGACTTCTGGACGTCTATGTTTTGGCTGTGTCTTCTTCTTCCAGGAAGGCTGGTCGAGCTCATCCTCCGCGGCTTCGACGGGAGTCAGGGTTGCCCGTTGCTCTGGCGTGGGGGCAAGGTTGCAGAGGGAGAAGCACGCGCGCCGTCGTTCGGGCTCTGCGTGTCACTTGTCCGCCTTGTGCGCCTAACATATTGACATTTGCTCAACTTTAGCACGCTGATTGGGTTGTCCGGCCAGCGTGACACTTACACAGGCAAGGTGTTGACAGAATAATCGCTTTCGGCTCAGGAACCCTGAGCATCCGGGGGACACAGAAAACTAAGTTTAAGATAAGTCTAACAATATATGTTAAGTTCACCATCTGAAAGCTAAGCTAACCATGTTCAACACTAAGTTATGTTCAGCCGATCAGAACACTTAAAGTCCATTCTAAATACATTCTAAATACATAAAATGTATTTAGAATGTGCTTGAAGTCTTCTGATCTGTTGAACACAGCTAAGTTTTAGTTTAATTACATTGGATTTTTGACGGGCTGAATTTCACTTATACTGAACTTCACCGGGTACCTTCTCGGGGTCCTCCTGAGGCCCTCAAGCGCGCCGCAGTTGCGCCCCGAGCACGCGCGCAAGATGGCTGGCGGAGGTGGCGCGAGCCACGCGGGATAATGGGCAGGCGGAGGTGGCGGCAGCTTTGCGAATAGATGGAGTCGGACGAGGAGTAGGAGGAGGAAAAAGGAGGAGGAGGAGGAAAGAGGAGGAGTGAGGAGTGAGGAGTAAGGAGGGAGCAATGGGATGGACATGGGCAACCCCCTTGGTTATTATGGCAAGGATGGGCAGTCACACGTAGCATGTCTTTTGCCAGCATCAGGCTGCGCCTGATTCATCTTGAAGCCGTGCTCCCCAAGAAGAGAGGCTACACAACATCAAACGTAAACAAACTCGAGTCGTAACATGCGTACGCACGTCGCAAAACACCTGGGGGTGGCCTATTAGGCCGCGAGGGGCGATGACACTCGCGAAACACGGTGAGACTCGAGGCCCACGGTGCGCTCGTACATCATGGGTGCGCTTCTGGTTAAGAGAAGGACTGCTTATATGGGGTTTATGAGGAGGGGGCATCGGACGGAGGGTGCATTGCAGCAGCGTTGGTGCAACCTTGATGCGTTATGGTCATGCGTCTCCTACACAGGGCCTTGGGCGACTTGAAACTGAACCACCCGTGTCTCTTTGTCATCGTACACCTCGCCGTGCCGCCGTTCCTTCCCCTCGATGTCCCCGTCGTCCTTGTTCGCCGTCGTGTGCGTTTGTTGCTGCTGCTGTTGTCGTGTTGTTTTAGTTGTTGTTGATTGTTATTGTTGTTGTGTGTTGTTTGTTCTCGACGAGATCGTTTGACTTGTTGTGTTTGTTATGATTGTTGTGTTGTCTGTTGTGTGTTTTCCAGTGTCCAGGTCAAGCGTCAAACGCGCCTGGCCCACAACTGCAAGAAACGCAGCGCTATTCGAGCGCAAGGCCCCATCGATACTTCTCGGTGGTTGTATGTGGCACATTATGCATTTTTGTTCCAGCAACAGACTTACCATCAACTTGTTTCATGTGCTTAACGAAATCCTCGTCTATGAACGTTGTGCCCCGCCTGGTACCCAAACATCGCGCACGATAAGCCATGTGCCACATCCAGTGCAGCTTTGGTGCTGGGTTGAATAGAAGCATATCCTTTCGCTGGCTTGCATTTGTGAGCCAGCAATATGTTCTACTAAGCTTATCAGTTTCGTCCAAGCAAGCGGCGGCAATGCCGTCGGGCATGCATATGCCACTCTTGTAACCATCTATAAGCAGCTGCACCTTTGTCATTCAATCCAAAGCCTCCGAAACCTTATCGCAAAACCGCCTTTAATCCAAAGCATTCGGCAGCCGCCTGTCGCACGGACAAAATGCACATGGGTCTGTTTTATTGTAGCTTTTGAGGCCTAGGCCTTTAAACCAGTCGAGGTCTCCCTTGACACCACATCACAGCAAAGAAATCGTCGGTGTCCGAACATAGGGGCTCCCCAGCAATCACAGCTTCGCTTGAGAACGAGTCCCATTCTTGATCTTCCCAATCCGTCTGAGGAAGTCGCCCTTCGCACAACGCTTTCAAAGACCAGCAAACGTTTTTCCATACAGTAGTAGATGTATTTTCAAGCCCTGGAATACCACTGACCTTATTCCTTTCGAACATCGAGAACATCAATACCTTTACTCGCAAGGTCGGCCCGTGGGCCAACTACGACTGTATCGATGTATCGATAAGCATTCCGAGCTCTCCGTACCAGGCTTGCCCACTCGAACCACTAGAACTGCGTCGCCGTGAAGGCTCAGCGGTATGCACCGCCTGGCCCAGTCCCGCCGGTGGCACATGGGGTGGTTCTGTATCCGCTGGTCCCGCCGACGAGCTACTTCATCCCAAAAGAATTGCAACAGATCCTTCGAGCCACCCCCAAGGAATGTTTCGTCGAATCGGTGTCGGTCGTATCTGAACATGTGCGAAACAAGTTGCATGCGGGTCCAGGATACTCGCGCCAGATGTCTGAATCGAAACTTGGGCCCCCCTAACTTTAGGGGCCTTCACGCGCACTTGAAATCCCCAGGGACGGGGGCACGAAGGTTCACCGATCCATCTTCTGAGTTCTGATGACACGTTGCCAGCGTGTCGGCCCCACGTTCCCGGGGAGGCAACGTGTTTGATTGAAGATGGTATGCTGTCTGTCGTGGCGCCCATTGTCTCACACATGCGCTTCATGTCATCGTATGCCGCTGCTGCCTCTGCCTGCATTTCACTTGCGCTCATGTGCCCCCAGGCCCATTTCCGAACCATCATTGTGACGAAGGCCGCGTCGAAACGAGCGGCCTTGGAATCGGTGTGGCTTGTTGCATCATGGCCTGAAGGATCTGCTGACCACTCTTCGAATTTTCGTTTCTTTTGCTGCCTGCCAGGCATGTGAAGAAATATGCATAGAAGTGTGAAACAAAGCGCGTAACCGCGCGACAGCTGGATTTGAGCCCATATGATTACGGAGGAGGATTGGAGTGGAGTGGGGTGGACGCCCTCAAAAGGGCACCAAATCTAAAAGGGCCCCTCATACAGCCCCAAATCTGCCCGAACATCTTTCCGACTGGCCTCATGGCTTCACCGTACTCTGCCCGACCACCACGGAGTCGAGGAGAACATTCGCGAGTTCACACGAACCGTCTCCACTTCTCCACCGAGACGTGCACCCCGCGAGGCCTCTGAGAGGGCGCCAACAGTTCAGCACGGTATCCCCCCGAGAAGACACTTGAACATAGAAATGGTTCCCGGGGCGCTCTCGTCGCCACGGCCGGATCTGTCATTACACGGTTGGCCCAGGCGCGCCCCTGGGCACGCCCTCGTGCCATGCATAGATCTGCGCGTGCGAATTGCATGGTACACGCGCGCTGCGCTCAACTATGACATGTCTTTGCTGTGGTTTTCTGTAGTGTCCTGCGCATGATTGAGCGTGTGTGTATTGCGTACGGGTCTCAACCGCGGGTGTCCAGAGAGTTGCCGACAACGATTGGGAAAGTGTTGTTCCCTACGAAACAAACAACGTTCCCCTCTTTGAAAATAAGGGAAATATCAAGATTCCCTTTTTGCTTCAAAGGTGATAATGTCGTTTTCCCGACGGGAGAAAGGCAACGTTCCGATCGTGGCTTTAGCTGGTCACTGATGTGTTCAAGTGCTTGCGCGATGCGTGCCATGCATTTTTTGTTTCGCATGTTATCGTTGCGCGTGTGTGTTTTGTTTCACCATTTCGTTTGTTCTACAAAAGTGCAAGGAAATCGTTGCACTGGTTCATTCTCGATTCGGGGGCTTATATGGTGCTGTAGATTTGTTGTAGATTTTGAAATTTACACCAGGTCTACAACATATCAGTTGTAGATCTGTTGTATTTTCCAGATCTACACCTGATATGTTGTAGACCTGGTGTTAATCTCAAAATCTACAACAGATCTACAACACCTTATACACGCCCGAATCGAAAGCACACCAGCTCAGATAGTGGTTGGATTTGTTGTTGCGAATACAAGAGACGATGGGATGACAAACCAACACAGGCAACCTCAACTTCTGATACAAAACGATGAACGACACGCATCGCGCAACGAAATTATCACACCACCCATAATGGGACCATGCACCTAAACGGAACAACTACACCAGGGTGACTTGTAGCACGTTGTAAGATTTGGTGTGCTGTATCAAGAATAAGTGAGCATATGTGCATATAGAGGTGTTGCAAGTGTGCTATGCTGGAAATGTGCGTGCCATAGAATGTGTTCGGATGAGCTCATCCGCGTTCAATCAGATATAAGTGTAATTCAAGTGGCGCCCGCCGCCCGCGACCCCATGAGAGCCACAGCGCCACTTGTAGTCCCCGCCCCCACTCACCGCAAACCCAGTTGCGAGAGGTCGCTCTTGTACTGAAGAGCCGATGATTTGGATCATTGCGTTTTCTGCATGTCTTCGGCCAGGGCCTCCATATGCTTCTCGGCGTTGGGCCCGTACACCGATCGTTTGATTGTGGTCACGTGTATTCGCTTCTGGTTCTTTCCCCCCGTGGCCGTTACCTCGAAGCGGCCGTCTTTCCCCATTGGGGGGACAAACAACGAAATTAGAAGGAGTGGGGGAGGAGGAGGAGGAGGAGGAGGAGGAGGAGGAGGAGCAGGACATCGGGCGCCAAAATCTATGCCAGGGGATGCCACCCCCCACCCCCCTAAGGTCCTTTAGGGGGGAAGGGGCTTGGAGCAGTGGGATAGGAAGGAAGGAGGGAGAAGGAGGATACAGGAGGGACTGTGCATGCGTCGATTTTAACCTAAGCTCCTTAGCCTTCGCCAACTTAGGGTTGATGCGCTGATCGTCGTCAGTGACCTTCAACGGCTTGGCGGCCTTGCCGCTCTCGGGGGCGGTTTGCTTCGGGGGGTCTGCAGCTTCTGCGTTCCCTTGGGCTTGGGCTTATTCTGGGGAGCCTGCTGCACCTGCTTTCCCGTGTGCTGGCGCTTGTCCTGGGAATCACCGTGTTGTTTTGCCTTAGTGTTTGTTGCGAGCTGCTGAGGCTGTCCTCCGACGCCTCTGCGCGCAGGGATCTGGCGGATCCTCTGACGCTTCCTCGAGCTTGGGCGAAGTGGGAGCCTTGACGCGAGGAACTCCTTCCTCGTCATCGCCCATGCCATACTCGATGAAGTTACCCAGGCTCATCACGCTCATCGCGGGCGTAGCAGCGGGTGGCGGCGCTGGCGACCCGCATCGAGGCGCAGCGGGCGCCGAACTCCGCGGTGGCATCCTCGGGAAACCGTCCGCACCGAACGTGCTTTGGGTTCTGCCCGTCCTCGGGGTAGACGATGGTAGAAGGCATGGGTACCCCGCTCTGCGCATCACTCATGTCAGCCTCCAGCGAATCGGCGAGGGCCAAACCCGAACGGATCATGTCCAGGAACCCGCTCATGCGGTGGAAGGCCACGGCGGGCTTGGCCTGGGGAACGATCGGGGCTTTCGGCTGCGACACCGCCGCCTCGCCACCGACCTCGGGCGGCGGCCCCTTTGTCACGCTCCATCTTCCTGACGAGGGAGTCGATGACGATCCGATCTGAGGCCCCGCACTGTCACTGGAATGACGCCGTTGATCTGTCGGATCATCGCACAGCATTCTCGGACGTGGTCGGTGATATTAGCGGCAAGGAGGTCGTCGTTTTTCGACATGGTTGTTTTGACGCAGGCCTGGAACCGAGTGGTATACAGAACGCAATGTTTGATGCCGCGAGCCACCAGGAGCTCCAATAGTTTAGGCGCTCAGACCACGTGCATCGGCAACAGTCTCGAGGCATCAGAAACCAACGGAGTAATGACATCCTCGATCCCCTTTTGCCAGCAATCTCCTTCAAACATTCAATGTAATAGGATTCGCGGGCAGTTGGGTTCGCAGTCTGTTGAGTGCGTTTTGCATTCGTGGTTAATAAATGCACGAACATTTTGAGCCAAATTGGCTGGCGACGGAAGAGGACAGGAGGGAGGAGTAGAGATATTGGAAAGATTGCCCGCCTACCCTTTGGGTGACGAGAGCAAGGAGGGCATAGTCGCGTCTTGCCCAGGCGGTACTTGGTAGGCGTCGGGGCGGGCGGGGTCCGAAGGGAATTGGATGGGCGCACGACCTGGCCTGGTATTCTGGTACAGTTTGTTCTAGCCGCAACATCCGAGCCAGCGGTCAGGGCGTCGGCCCAGCATTTCTTTTTGGGTGCGCCGTGGCACCTCCCGCTTATGTACGACTAGCACTGGCGAGGCCGTCGCACCTCGAACGATGATGCTGCGCTGCTGCGTCCTCCACCTCATTACATCCCAATCCTGCCTGTCCTCATCCTCCTCCTCCTCATCCTCATCCTCCTCCTCCTTATCCTCCCCCTCATCCCTCTCCATGGACGGTGTGCGCCGCCCTGGCCTGGCAGCGTCCTTCCTCATAGCGTGAGCGGCTTGAGGCCCTTGGCGGCCTTGTCGCCGTCCTTGCCCTTGTTGGAGCTCTTGACCTGGACGACGATCTCGTTGTACAGCTCGATCATTGCCTTGCACGAGGTTCCCACCGGCTGCAGCACCTTCCACCTTCGCGACCTCGTCCTTGGTGATCAAGCTGTTCTGCTTGCCCCGCTTCACCATCAGCGCTTCCAGGGCGTCGCTCGGGCCGAAGACGGACGTGCACAGAGCCATGGCGCGGCCGCACATCTCGCGAGTGGTGTCAGATCCATTTGAGGCGAGCATCTCGGTGCCGAGGCGCCTCAGCGCCAGCGTGACCCTGGAGATGGCGTCGAAGCTCTCCTGAGGTGTTGTAGAAGTGTTGCAACATCGAAACACACATACTGACTCATCCTCCTCCCTCCCCTCCTCCTGCTCTTGCTCCTCCTCCTCCTGCTCGTCGGCGTCGTCGTCGTCGTCGCCTCCCCCTTCTCCTCCCAGAGGGGGGAACTGGGAGGAGGAGGATCAGGGAGGGTGAGGGCGCGAGCTTATCTCCCCGAAAGCTCCTGCATGAGGGTGAAGTCCTCGTCGTCGGCCTTCACGGCCGAACCCTTCTTCTTCGGCGTTTCGATGGCCAACCACTCGTGGCCCAACGGCTCGGACGTAAGCTGGCCCTCCTGCTCGCAGATCATACTCAAGAAATCCCTGTCGTGGAAAACGTCTACCGTGCGATCGCCCGTGTAGCCGCGATCCCTAATGTTCGCCCTCGACACCGTGTGGGCGTCCTGGTGCCACTTATTCGTCTTCTCGTTGAACACGAGCCCGCCAGCGTCGACCGCCTTCTGGGCCAGCTCCTCGCTGCCGTTGTACTTCCCCCGACCATGCTCCACCAGTCCATGCCAGTCATGGCCTCCTTGCCCTCGTCGCGCACAAGGTGGGACTGGACGAGGCTGACCGTCGGCGATTTCACCACGAGCCCGTCGCCTTGCTTCGCCTTCCTCGACACGCAGGCGTTGATGATCTGGTTGATCTTGGCCTGCTTGCCCTTCTCCACGTTCTTTGGGTCCATCAGCCAATCGAACCGATCTACGAGCTTGGGATCCAGCAAGTGCCTCTTCGTTTTGAACGTGTACCTTTGCCCGCGCGTAGTCGTCCTCTCGTCAACCTCGCCGTCGGGCTTGTCATCTTTGCCGTCGAGATCGTCCACCGCTGGTTCCTGGGAGTGCCACGCCGCGGACCTCTTCACGACCGCCAGCGCCAGGGGCGAAGCACTAGGGCGCATCTTGGGTGGCATCTGGAGCTGCTGACCGAAACTGGATGTTTCCAGGATGTCGCGAATCCGACCCTGGGCTCTCTCTCTCTCTCTCTAGAGAGAGAGAGAGAGAGAGAGAAAAAAAAAAAAAACAAAAAAAAAAAGCGGCTGCGGCCATCGTGCATGAGAACGACACCCAAGTGCATCGAGCGACAGAATGGCGCACCACCCCATCTCCGCTCCAGACCGTTCAGCGGGGCTTTCGCTTGAGACTTTCTCGAATAATATGCCAAGGAACTGAACACATATGAAATATATGCACTGAATGAGGGCGGCTCCTTCTCAAAATTGGGCTCTCGCTTGAGACTTCCTCATAGGTTACGATCGTCGTTCTGAGATTGCGCGACTGCTTCACGGATGGGGGGTGGTTCCCCTGCTAAGCGGGTTTCCCGTCACGAATGCGAGTCCCATGGGGCGCTCGTCATTCGACGGGACGCTCCTGGCATCGCAGTAACCGACGTCGCTGCATCCCCAAGCGCGGCCAGAAACTAAGCACAAACTAAGAATGGTTTAAGTACAATTTAAGATCTAAGTTAAGTTGAAGTTAAGTTCGTCCAAGTTCAAACTATGCTAAGTTCAATCTAGTGTATGGTACAGAACTTAAATTTATCTTGAACTTTTTTGTGTGTCCCTCAGATGCTCAGGGAAGAGGCTCGTGTTTTCGGGCCGGTCCGTGAATGCAGCTTCGGTGAACCTGTTAGTGACCGATGCTCGCCGTGGCCAGAATCGCCTGTTCGTTCCTTTCAGCGCTCCTGATGGGACCGCGATAACTATACAGTAGGCACGTCAGATCAAGGAATCGAAGTGACCTGCCATCAGGTGCCCTTCGGATATTTCTTATCCCCCCGATGGCCCCAGGACCCACATGAGCCCTGGGCATCTTAGGACCCTCAACGATCGACGAAGGTGTGCCTCAAGGCGGCCTTATATCAAAGCGTCTTATCGTATGCGTCTACGGTGCTGCTTGGCAGGCACCTCAGGACGGGGCCAACAGGTGCCCGAGGACAGTGCCGACGCGAGGGGGTCTGGCTTGCGATTCGTAATTCGGTTCTGCGGCGGCCGTTCGGGACGATCGGGGCCCCCCCGGAACGCCCTCGGCGAGGCGCAGCTGCTGGAAGGCATCTCGAGGTTGGAGAGCCGCCGAGAGTCGACCTCCTCCTCTCCCCTCGTCCTCGTCCTCGTCCTCCTCCTTCTCCTGCTCCTCCTCCTCCTCCTCCTCCTCCTCCTCCTCCTCGCCTCCTCCTCCTCCTCCTCCTCCTCGTCCTTCTCCGTGCCGCACCTGTCTTCCCGCAGCAGGTGCCACAGGACGAGGCCCACACGCTGACGAGCCTGGTGGCCGAGGCCTGCACGCTGCTGGCGGGCTGCCTCATGGCCGCCTGCGGGCTGCGCCGCCCGAGGCTCTGCGCCCACTACGGCACGCTGCTGGCGCTCGGGCTCTACGCGGCGGCCTTCCCGCTCCTACCCACGGAGCTCACCGGTGGCGTGCGGTCGGGACTCCTTGCCCTGGCGTGTCGGGCTGCTGGTCTTGGCCCACCACTCTTCGGCGCGGCACGGTGCTTCTTTCCCGATCCCAAGCGTCAGGGTCCCGAGCTCTCTCGAGCCTCCCGCCCCACGCAGCGGAGCGACACGCCATCCACCTGCAAGGTGCAAGGCGTTGCGCGTCGCGGGGCCGCCGCGACGGTGCGCTGAGCAGAGGTTCCCGACCGTGGCCTGCACTGGCGGGTAAGAGATCACCACCCACCAAACCACCCCAACCCAACCCGAAGGCCCCAATTTATCCTCGATTTCCAGTGGAGGGGGGTCGTGGAACGTCGAGAAAACACGTATGGAACCCGTACCCCCCCAACCCGAAATTCGGGTCTTCGGGTTGGGTTGGGGTGGTCTGGTAGGTAGTCAAGAGAGGGAGCGGTGGGGGTCGTCGGCACTCTGCGTGGCTCTGAAGCCCACCGCAGGAACCGACTTTTTTGATACGTTAGAGGACGAGGTCGCCTCAGGTGCCCATCTATTCTTCGTAGCAGCGTGGGGGGGCGCGGGTGGGTCGCGGGGTGGGTCGCGGGCGCGGACGACAACAGTGCAACAAGAGCACAACAAGCAGCATCCGCCGGTTGGGACGCCACTTCTGCCACGCAGCCAGGAACAATGAATGAAGTCACGGAAGCTTTTCCTGGTCTTGAGAGCTCGCATGTTCAAATAACAAAGGCGGCATGTTGCTGGTGAGGAGGGGCTGCAGTTTCACCGAGCTCTATACGGGTTGCGCTTCAAATTCGCATCCTGGTGTCCCCACAAAGGGGCGCCGGTAGGTATTGCCAGCGGGATTGGGTGGGCTTGCTCGCTGGAGGTCGGCGCGATTGCGCGCTATTGCACACAATTGCTTGCTATTTCGCGAAATTGTCCCCAACTCAGGACTAGAAGAAACTCTAGTTTTATTTATACGGAGGCAGAAGATTCGGATACCGCTGTCCGCCCCTCTTCACCACGGCTGGGATCGCCTCGAAAAATTTGTCAGGACGCAATCCCGGAGAGGTCCAGGGAGGAGCGGCATTGGTACCTTTATGCCCACGGAGCTCATCAATCAGATGAGGCACAAGATATCGACACCACTGCCCTACCCTCGCCACCGCGGCTGGGATGCGCTTTGGAAGCCTGCTCTGAACGCACCTCGGAGAGATGTCTGGGAAGTAGCGCCATCGGTACCTTGCGTATCCCCCCAAACAAGGGCAATGTTGGGGGGGGGGGCAGGCCCAGGGGGGGGGGATGCATCGACCGCCAGTCGTCCGTTTATCGCCGATAGGGGTCCGATAGTCCAACCCGCCCAGGATCGGGCGCATTCGCCATCGGGGCCTATCGCCGATCTGTCGGCGATGTATTGCCGATTCCAGGTCAATGCTTTGCCCCTCCTGAGCCAGTTTCCACTCTCGTTTCCCTTCAGCCCAGGGGAGGAAAAAAAACGATACCGCGGTTCGTCCTAGACGGCCCGTGTCGCCACGGTTCGACTCTTTTCGAATTCGTGGTCGGAAAGTTACCGGGAAGGGTCCGCATGAGGGCGAAGAAGAAATTTCCCGGGCTATCATAACCCATGTGCAACAAGTGAGCAGAGCGGTGGGGGCATTCTTACACATGATGATGCAACAAGGAGAGCACCTCGCTGCGAAAGTTGCATGGATGGCATGGATGGCATGGATGGTTTACGCGTTCCACGACGCACGGGGCAGTTTTGAGCCAGGAAGCACCACATAGTATGGCATGGCAAGGAGAACGTGGGAGGTCAACGATGGGAGGTACGCGGAAGAGAAATACAGAGACGTAGAGAGGTGGAATCATATAGGGGACAAGGGACGAATGGGGACGGGAACGTGAAACAGACTAGGAGAGCGCCAATAGCTGAGAAATATACAGAGAGGGCTACATATAGAACTTATTGAAATGGACAAAGGACGCCAGTGCAGCAGGATTCGAAAGGAGGGAAGCGGTAGCCTGGAGGAGGGAGGAGGGAGGAGCGAGCATTGAGGAAGAGGAGACCACGTGTTGCTTGGACCCGCGCAAGTCACCACATCGCTTGCTTCCCCAGGAGACCGCGAACGTGCGCACTGCTTCGTAGCCTGCAGCGCCCCTCGAAGGCGATATCAAGTTTTGGATCCCCGCAAGACGCTACTCCGCCGGACCTCCCGGGAAGCCACAGGCGCGGCGACCGCACCGCAGCTGCCAGTCCCCCAGGGAGGGAGATTTCAAGTTTGGACCTCCTGCGTACGGTAGGTTTGCGTCGTGTCGACCAGCGGCGACCCCAGCGCGGGCGTTTCAAGGTTGAACGCCGCCTGCGACCCAGAATCGATCGATGTGGAACGATCGTTCAAGGTTGAACGATCCCTGCGGTGTCAAAATCCAACGCTGGGGTCGGCACGACGCGAACCTGCCGTAGACATCCCAGACTTTAAGGGTAGCTCTTTGGGAGATGTTATAGTATCGGGAGCATAGCTCGCGCGCCGATGCCTTTGGCTCAAGGCACGCGCGCCCTATTTGCCCGGATACCTGATGGTATTCGCTATTTGCACGGACATCTTACTTTAGTGTTCGCCATGTGCTGGAAAGACCGATACATCGATCTTATCCTATCATACCCATCCTCTCCCCATATCGTGTTCCTGCGGCGTGGAAGTGGATGCTATGTGAGCTCATCCGCCTCCCATGGAGACGGATGCTATTTGACCTACCAGGCTCACTTTCGACTTGGTAGCGGAGCTGGCCGCACCCTCGTGTGGTCAGCTCTTGCTCTTCTCATCCTCATACTCTTCGGAGCGATCTTCGTGACCACCTACCACCCTGCGCTACCACTCACAGTACGTTTACGAGGATCTATCCAAGAGCAAGAAGCAACACGAGAGGTACGACGTCTAGACAACAACATTGGTACCATATACGCTTCATCACTGCGCTACTACCAGCCGCTCGGCAACGAGCCAAAAACGCAATACTTGAAGCACGGGCGGAGGGATCCGCCAGATAGAGCGCCTCGAAGACTCGACAAGGCGCTACCCCAGCGCGGCAACGCGCCTAATAACCACCCTTATCTACACAGCCTTGGGCTGGTTATATTCGCTATCATATGGTTCGCGTTGGGGGCAGCAATCGGACACATGCGCCGCGGAGAAAACAGCACCGATGGGCAAACACATGGCCCATACTGGGACCCTCAAGGCAACGTACCTTTTCGTGAGTACGTTTATGAGGTCAACGCATGGCTCAACGTCACTAGCGGACGTATGACGCCACAGGCCCAAGCGGCCGCCATACAACGCGGCCTAGGTGGCCTAGCGAGGACACTCGCCATGAGGGTACCACCTGACATTATAAACTATGGTGCTGACATCGATGGGGTCCACACAGACCCAGTGACCTACATCATGTTCCTCCTAAGCATGAAGTTCGAGCGCCTGGAAGATGAGCGTCAGCTCACTTCCGGCACACAGCTCATCGACTTTCATGTGCCTCACGGAGAACGAATCGATGTCAGTCTAACCCGATTCGAAATGGCTCGACTTGAGGCACAGTCGGTGGGATTCGACCTTCCCAACTTCCAGTTACTAACCACGATCCTGTTCCGCGCCTTAGGCGTCGGCAACCAGCGAGCCATGCAACTCTTACAGCCACTCAATCATCAAATGCCCCGAACTCAACAACAGTATGATGAGTTGCTGGAGAGGATGCGTTCGATAGGCCACCTATCAGAACGGTCTCCTGGTAATGTAGCATCTGTGTTTGGAAGGGGAAGGGGATCTGGTAGTGGAAATTTCTACACTACCAGATGGAAACGGGCCCTCAACCATATGGGCCCTCAAGCATATGGGCCGATGATCCCGGATAATCTACTGCTCTACTAGCAGGAGATCGATCACAACCAAGCTGGGCAACCAGCCCTCCTTCTAGAGAACCTCAACCACACCGTTCTCTGTGGGGTGAATCAAACCCCCTTACCGACGGTGTGTCCACCTACTTAGGAGACGATGATTTCGACTCCGGCACCGACACTGATACTGCATCATCCGACGGTGTTGAAGCTTTAGACTGGTCAGATATTATGAATATGGAAACTGACAATCAGCGTGCTGAACACCTATTTTGGTTATTACAACAGGCTAAACGGAGGTGGAGGAGGTTCACACGAAAACCAGTGCGACGTGTTAGGAGAAGGATACGGAGGAGCTTCAAGGGAAAAAGGTAAAGGTAAACGAGGTCGTCGGAGGTTGAACGGACGAGGCATCACGGCACTCCTCCAGAGGCTCTCGGATGAACAGTATGATGAGATATTCTTCGGGGGAAAGGGCCGCGGCAAAGGCCGTAGGGGGACCCCAGGAAAAGGCAAAGGTAGGCGGGGAAACCCGCGGGGTAGAGACGGCCAAGTTCTAAAGTGCCATGAGTGTGATAGTACCGACCATATTGTGAGAGATTGTCCAGCGAAGGGAAATGGAAAGGGCAGATCGACCGAAGTCCATTTTGGCTCAAGTGAACCATTCATCGAATATCTGAGCCTCCAGGATTTTGAGGCCATGGAACAGATATTTTACACTTGGGTCAGTTGCATGGACAACGTCGACGAGCTCGAGGCGCATGGTCATGGATTGTACGCGTAGTACCTCGAGTACGTCCGCAGGTTCGTTATTGACAACAACGAGCTCACTCCCGTGGATCACGGTACGCTGGGAAACCAGCCTTTGTCTTTCTTCGACTGGATGTTCGGGAACCCAGGCAACATCATGGCCTACGAAAGCAGTGACGAGGACATCACTGTTGAGGCCTCGCCTTCCGAGGTTGAACGCAACCTCCAGCCTCCACCTGAACTCCCGCCTGGAAACAGGCCTACCTATCCCCGAAATAATGAGGAACTTATAGAAATGGAGTCTCAAGCGTTTGTTCAAGCTTTCATTGCAGGTGAACCAGAGATCCCATTTGTACCCCCTGGTTCGCTTGCTTCA